AACAAGCTACCACATCGTAGCTTTGATTTCTGTAGAAAGGCTCTTCGCTGTTACTTTACCGTTTAGGGTAGTTAAAATTTGCACGCCTGTTCGTATTAAGTGTGTTATTTTCTTATTATGTGTGTACGCTTTTGTAATCAACACGTGTAGAAATAAATTCACAGCGTTTTATTTCATAAAATTTCTCTGGGGTAATAACTTCACGCTGTTTTCTTTGACGAATGTGGGTTCTTTCCTTTTCACAATGGGTGTGTATTTAGGATTTTTGGTAACCATCGTTCCTTTGACGATTATATGTTTATGTACATCCCTTATCATACTGAAACTGAGGCAGAGCGGGAATAGGATGAGAATCACCAAATCTAAACCGCCGAAAGAGATGAAGGTAATTAAAATGTTGCTAGCCGTGTGTCTGGGTTTTGTGGTTCTCGCTATCCCTATCACCATCTACACGGCATTTTATACCATTACAAAAAGAATCAACGCTAAAGTGTTTCTTTTGTTATGTATCTTTAATCAGCTAACAGCCTCGGTTAATTTTATCATCTATATCAAAATGAGCTCAAAGTTTTCAAGTTCTCTTAATTGTCTTAACTGTAAAAAAAAATAAAAAATAAACGCTTCTCTTTTCAAGTATGTAATGACTTTGTGTTTATTGTTTTGTCTTAAGCTAATACAAGCGAAATTTAATAGAAATTGAAAGATGGTTGATAAATTCGAAAAAAGTCTCGAGTTCAAACCCTCTGGCAGATAAGGCTCGATCCCTTCCAACACTAAAAATTAAGAACGAAGAAGAAGAAGAAAGATGTCATGTAAAGCATATAACCTTTGGTTTTGGGGACGGAGTGGTCTAGCTGTAGAGCGCTAAACTGTAAAGAGGTCGTCCATAAATGACATGACGTCACACTCGTAGGGGGGAGGGGTCCGTAATTTTGTGACGGTGTGTGATGAGGGGGAGGGGGGGGGGGGGGGTTCAGATGATGCGACGTCACTTTTGCATTATAAAAAAGCAAGGTTAGAAAATGAATTTTAAACGTTATTTCGGGTTTTAGAAAACTGTTTAAATAAATTGTAATAGGAATTGATTAAAATACTCAGCTTTGACAGAGTTCAGACAAGATTTTGGAAAAATATCGATGTTTTAAGAAAAATTCAACTGCAATTTTGAGGGGGGGGGGGTGTAGGCTGAGGTGTGACGTCATTTTAGGGAGTCTGGCTTTTTGTGACGACGTGTGACGGAGGGGAGGGGGGGGGGGAGGAGGTAAAAATCGTCAAAAAAAACGCGTGACGTAATTTATGGATGACCCCAAAGCATATAACCTTTGGTTTTGGGGACGATGTGGTCTATCTGTAGAGAGATCGACTGTAAACCTGAATCTCTTGAGTTCTGATCCTTAGCTCAAGTGTGTAAGATGTCCCGGAGTTCACCCGGCTCTGATGGGTACCAGACCTTCGTGTCGTCAAGACCATAGTACCAATCAGCGTAGAAGATCTGGGTTCTGGAGCTCTGCCAGGGGGGGGGGGGGAGGAGTGTTGCAGCACATGGCTTTCTCCAGCAGGGCGATGTCGTCACGCCCGCCCCGGGGGTAGTTCCTGTAGAAGCCCTGGATCACCTGGCTATATCCGTCACATCGCGACAGACCCTCTCTGTCAAAGCTGAGGCTCCAGTCGGAATATTGGCAGCCCGACACAGCTACTGATAGCCGGACACGGCTACTGACAGCCGGACACGGCTACAGACAGCCGGACAAGGCTACTGATAGCGGTAACCACAGCTTCAGCCAATCTATGTTCAACTTTTAAAAATCTGAACGTATTTAATATAGTGGACATTATTTTATCATGCTGCAATCAACTCTTACTTAAATGGCTATTAAACTGCGTTATATGCCTACTTGAACAGTGCTTCTTTTAGATTTTTTAAACAATGATAGAAGGCCTACATGAACAATGGCAGTAGACCTACAACAATGGCAGGCAGTAGACCTACAACAATGGCAGTAGACATACAACAATGGCAGTAGACATACAACAATGGCAGTAGACCTACAACAATGGCAGTAGACCTACAACAATGGCAGTAGACATACAACAATGGCAGTAGGCCTACAACAATGGCAGTAGACCTACAACAATGGTTATAGACCTACAACAATGGCAGTAGACATACAACAATAGGAGTAGACCTACAACAATGGCAGTAGACATACAACAATGGCAGTAGGCCTACAACAATAGGAGTAGACCTACAACAATGGCAGTAGACCTACAACAATGGCAGTAGACCTACAACAATGGCAGTAGACATACAACAATGGCAGTAGACCTACAACAATGGCAATAGACATACAACAATGGCAGTAGGCCTACAACAATAGGAGTAGACCTACAACAATGGCAATAGACATACAACAATGGCAGTAGACCTACAACAATAGCAGGCAGTAGACCTACAACAATGGCAGTAGGCCTACAACAATGGCAATAGACATACAACAATGGCAGTAGACCTACAACAATGGCAGTAGGCCTACAACAATGGCAGTAGACCTACAACAATGGCAGTAGGCCTACAACAATGGCAGTAGACATACAACAATAGGAGTAGACCTACAACAATGGCAGTAGACCTACAACAATGGCAGTAGGCCTACAACAAAGGCAGTAGGCATACAACAATGGCAGGCAGTAGACCTACAACAATGGCAGTAGACCTACAACAATGGCAGTAGGCCTACAACAATGGCAGTAGACCTACAACAATGGCAGTAGACCTACAACAATGGCAGGCAGTAGACCTACAACAATGGCAGTAGACATACAACAATGGCAGTAGGCATACAACAATGGCAGTAGACCTACAACAATGGCAATAGACATACAACAATGGCAGTAGACATGCAACAATAGGAGTAGACCTACAACAATGGCAGTAGACCTACAACAATGGCAGTAGACATACAACAATGGCAGTAGGCATACAACAATGGCAGTAGACCTACAACAATGGCAATAGACATACAACAATGGCAGTAGACCTACAACAATAGGAGTAGACCTACAACAATGGCAGTAGACATACAACAATGGCAGTAGACATACAACAATAGGAGTAGACCTACAACAATGGCAGTAGACATACAACAATGGCAGTAGACCTACAACAATGGCAGTAGACATACAACAATGGCAGTAGGCATACAACAATGGCAGTAGACCTACAACAATGGCAATAGACATACAACAATGGCAGTAGACCTACAACAATAGGAGTAGACCTACAACAATGGCAGTAGACATACAACAATGGCAGTAGACATACAACAATAGGAGTAGACCTACAACAATGGCAGTAGACATACAACAATGGCAGTAGACATACAACAATAGGAGTAGACCTACAACAATGGCAGTAGACCTACAACAATGGCAGTAGACATACAACAATGGCAGTAGACATACAACAATAGGAGTAGACCTACAACAATGGCAGGCAGTAGACCTACAACAATGGCAGTAGACCTACAACAATGGCAGTAGACCTACAACAACAGCAGTAGGCCTACAACAATGGCAGTAGACCTACATGAACAACTAGTCGCACTTTATCAAAAACAAAACCAAGGACATAGTTGTTTAACAAAAAATTTTTATTGCATAATTGATTCTTTTCAAATTTACATATACAACAGTAGCAAATAAATACAAAATAATTTAAACAAATAAAGCAAAATATATTGAAAATTCTTCATCACAAAAATATTTCCAACTAAAAAATTGCGTAAAAATTAAATCTGAATTCCCCATCGAATTAAGCAAATTTGATGATAGATTTACACTTAAAAATGCTAGAAAAAATAACCAGTTATATTCAATTAAAAAATATTAGTCTACTAGTGATGACGGAGGAAATTTTAAAAATTCATAGAATTTCTAAACCAGTGGTTCGTAACAAACTCCTTAGTGTGCACTATGGCACCTATATTCATTTTAAAGAGCACCCTACAATAGAGACACAGTAGCACATTCGATGATTAAACTGAACCAACGCCCATACCCTGACACCTGGTATGTTCTATCTCACTATAACTAAGGGTGTTTAATGTGCACTCATGGCTTTCAAACTGCACTTCCTGGGGTGTCTGAGTGGGCAAACCCGTGTAGTAACAGCTATCATCCAAGAAATATAGCGCCTGTTTTGTTTACATTCAATTAACTCTGTAATACGTTGATGAAACCTTCTTAAAATATTGTGTCAGCTATTCTTCTGAGACCATAGCAACATGCAGGACCGGTACACAAGTGGATTATAACCAAACAAAAATTTGATGGACTTGGATCATAACAGTGTTGATATAGAAAACAAAAAAAACACACAAATCTATAAAGCTGATCATTACAATGTAGCTCTATCTACGATCCATTTAAAATATTTAGATTCATTGATAAAAGATCAATAAATACAGCAATATATAGTAATATAAATAGACATAATAAATATATTATTAATATTCCCTGTTACATTATATCTGAAGTCTTAGTATTGGAGTTAACTGTAAATAATATGCAACACTTCAAGATCCACAATCTTTGTGAGATACTGACACTCGCACTTAACAGTTTGCTTTATGTTCTGATGTATATGACATCTTGCTGCTAATTTAACTAAACTATGTACATTAACTAGGAACGGCATGGTCAAGTAGTAGAGCACTTGACTGCTAGTCTGAAAACTTCGAGTTCGGATCTTACGCTGGACTCGTGACTGTAGGCAGTCCCTGAGTTCACCCAGCTCCGAAGGGTACCTGACTCTTGTTAGGAGGAATAAAATAGTACTGACCACACCATCCCCTGACATTCTGAGGGTAAGAGACATGAAGTCTACTACATCTTTGGATTGTTAGATCTGAAAGGGGAAGCTTACTTATGTACACTTTAAGTATACCCCATACCAACCTCTGCCACTAAACTCTTACAAAAATAGGTGTGTTATAATGATATTTTAAATGAACTAGGTCTAGAAATTAGGGTTTGGGCTTTGAGTTATAGGGTTTTGGATAGGGTTAACATTAATACTAGCGTTACATTAGTGTAAAGTTTACTAACATTGATCTAGCACCTCTTTATAAAGCAGATACAAATACTGTGGTATTGTGAGCCACAGGTATGGAACACAGACCAGTATTTCTTTTGTTTTTACTACATGAGCATAAGAATTAAAGAAATAATAGCTGAATATTACTTGGTTAAAATTAATAGATTAAAATAGTTGACTGTTATTTCATAATTTGACTGATTAAATTAAACATCACATTTGACAAGTTTTCTGTCTGATTAATTTAAATGAGTGACATAGATTAAGTTATCCATCATGTCAAGTGAGTTCATTAAAATATGCGACTGTTGTTTCAAGATTTGACGTAGATTAAGTTATGCATCATGTCAAATAAGTTCTGTTGTTTCAAGATTTGACGTAGATTAAGTTATGCATCATATCAAATGAATTTCCATCGGGCTGAACACTCATAAGGACGTTGTCTGTTGTACGTATAGAGAGAAACCCGTGCTCGTCTAGTCCTATTATCTCCCCTACTGTTGGTTGATCTAGCTGTACAGTCACAGTGGCACCCCTGTAAGGAGGAGAAGTGTATAGGAAGCTGTGGTTATTGGGGGTGGGGTGTGGAGTGGTTATTGGGGGTGGGATGTGGAGTGGTTATTGGGGTGGGGTGTGGAGTGGTTATTGGGGGTGGGATGTGGAGTGGTTATTGGGGGTGGGATGTGGAGTGGTTATTGGGGGTGGGGTGTGGTTATTGGGGGTGGGATGTGGAGTGGTTATTGGGGGTGGGGTGTGGTTATTGGGGGTGGGATGTGGAGTGGTTATTGGGGGTGGGATGTGGAGTGGTTATTGGGGGTGGGATGTGGAGTGGTTATTGGGGGTGGGGTGTGGTTATTGGGGGTGGGATGTGGAGTGGTTATTGGGGGTGGGGTGTGGTTATTGGGGGTGGGATGTGGAGTGGTTATTGGGGGTGGGATGTGGAGTGGTTATTGGGGGTGGGATGTGGAGTGGTTATTGGGGGTGGGATGTGGAGTGGTTATTGGGGGTGGGGTGTGGAGTGGTTATTGGGGGTGGGGTGTGGTTATTGGGGGTGGGGTGTGGGGTGGTTATTGGGGGTGGGGTGTGGAGTGGTTATTGGGGGTGGGGTGTGGAGTGGTTATTGGGGGTGGGGTGTGGTTATTGGGGGTGGGGTGTGGGGTGGTTATTGGGGTGGGATGTGGAGTGGTTATTTGGGGTGGGATGTGGAGTGGTTATTTGGGGTGGGATGTGGAGTGGTTATTTGGGGTGGGATGTGGAGTGGTTATTTGGGGTGGGATGTGGAGTGGTTATTGGGGGTGGGGTGTGGAGTGGTTATTGGGGGTGGGGTGTGGAGTGGTTATTGGGGATGGGGTGGTTATTGGGGTGGGGTGGTTATTGGGGTGGGGTGGTTATTGGGGTGGGGTGTGGGATGGTTATTTGGGTGGGGTGTGGGGTGGTTATTTGGGTGGGGTGTGGGGTGGTTATTGGGGTGGGGTGGTTATTAGGGTGTGGTGGTTATTGAGGGTGGTCATTGGGGGTGGGGTTATTATTGGGGTGTGATGGTTATTGAGGTGGGGTGGTTACTGGGGTGGGTGGTTATTGGGGGTGGGGTGGTCAGTCTGGTTGGGTGGTCATTGGAGGTGGTGTTTTGGTCATTATGGGTCAGGTGGTATTTATGGGTATGGTCTTTGGGATGGGTGGTCATTGGAGGTGGGATTCTTATGTAGAGAAATCATATGGCTACAAATTAATGTAAAATGTGCTTAACAACCTTCTACACCTCTTTGGTAGGGAGATCTTAATGCCTTAGATTAATATAAAATGTGCTAACCACCTTCCTTACTTAGGTATTAAAATCATATGGCTACAAATTAATGTAAAATGTGCTAACCACCTTACATACTTCTTAGGTAGAGAAATCATATGGCCACAAATTAATGTAAAATGTGCTAACCACCTTACATACTTCTTAGGTAGAGAAATCATATGGCCACAAATTAATGTAAAATGTGCTAACCATCTTTCATACTTGAACCCAGTACAAGCCTACATACGTGTGGAGCCAGTACTTGTAATATTCTTGACAAAAACCTCGGTGGCCGCTCCTCTCAAATTCTTGGACCAGACTCTCCAGGGAAGTTACAGTACGCCCAATCAGCTGGCTGACTGACAAAGGTGAAAGGTCGAGTGGAGGAGTATGTGAGCTGTTGAACCGCCTGATGATGTCGTTGATGCAGATGGTTGGGTTGCTGTTGGAGACATTAAAACCACACCCTGCGTAGGAAATTAATGAGATTAAATTAATTGTTAAATAAGTAAATTACTTTTACTATAAAACTGAGTTAACAGTAAAAATTAACTACAAAGAAATAAATGAGATGTCATTATATTTCTTTAAAATTAACTTTCTGTTTTATTTAAATTGTATTTATTACATCCAAACATTAAAATGGCAACCTAACCAAATACAAATTGATATTTGTAATTAATTCAAAATGTAACTTATATTTTTATAGATAAATAATTTTTATATATTTTTTCTGCTCAATCCACACAATCCTTGATTTATTTGCTAACAAGAAAAATATGTAATGATATAGGGGAAGCAAACAGGATAGAGAATAACAAACAGGTACCTATAGGCCAGTGTATTACATTTAGCTATAGCGACAGGATAAAGTGTAGTAAATAGTTACCTATAGTGGCAAATATTTTGGAGCCCATGACAGTAGATGTGACAAGTACACCCCCAAGTTTCATTTCCTTGCCATAATAAATGTCATTTGGCCACTTCAGTTTAAGGTCCAGATTCTATGGGAATAAAAGAAAGTAAATGTCATTTGGCCACTTTAGCTTAAGGTCCAGGTTCTATGGGAATAAAAGAAAGTAAATGTCATTTGGCCACTTTAGCTTAAGGTCCAGGTTCTATGGGAATAAAAGAAAGTAAATGTCATTTGGCCACTTTAGTTTAAGGTCCAGGTTCTATGGGAATAAAAGAAAGTAAATGTCATTTGGCCACTTTAGTTTAAGGTCCAGGTTCTATGGGAATAAAAGAAAGTAAATGTCATTTGGCCACTTTAGTTTAAGGTCCAGGTTCTATGGGAATAAAAGAAAGTAAATGTCATTTGGCCACTTTAGTTTAAGGTCCAGGTTCTATGGGAATAAAAGAAAGTAAATGTCATTTGGCCACTTTAGTTTAAGGTCCAGGTTCTATGGGAATAAAAGAAAGTAAATGTCATTTGGCCACTTCAGTTTAAGGTCCAGGTTCTATGGGAATAAAAGAAAGTAAATGTCATTTGGCCACTTTAGTTTAATGTCCAGATTCTATGGGAATAAAAGAAAGTAAATGTCATTTGGCCACTTCAGCTTAATGTTTAATACCCAGCATCTCAGTAGACATTGACCAGGCAATTAATACTGTTTTTCTGTAGCCTATACAAGTTATCTATGATCTACTAATCCTCTGAGGATGACATTTTAAAATTTTGTACAGATATTCCTTGATCCTACACTATACATAGCAGATATACAATGTTTTATGGAAATAATCTTATTGTTAGGACCTTTATCATATATTTCATATCTTAGGTCCATCATTAGCAGTTAGTTAATTACAAAGACAACTAACGAGGAATAGTTTTCAAAACCTACCTCATACCCTGGCAGAGTGACGACACTTTTGACGACAGCTAATGATACCAGATGTTGCAGAAATGACACTTTATGTCCAAGTTCACTGTCTAAGCTGATTGTCAAAGGGAGAGTAAACATTGCACAGCCCTCTGGACTTATCCACGCATTACCTCCCCTTCCTGAGTAGAACAGAGCATAAAAAAAACAATGACAAAATTGATATTAAATTAAAAATCATATTTTTTACATGCAGGAATTAATATAGTAAGTTATAATTATCTAGACTACATGATGCATTAGATAGGTTAAACAGAATAACTAGGGTTATATTTGCCTTATACTAAACTATGCAGTTATGCAGGATTTAACTGTAACCTAAACAAGCAATAGCTTATGTTCTTGGACACCCCATATAATACATAAAGAAACAATACAGAACGTGCTTACCAAAAAGTAGGATTTAAAAAAAAAGAAATGGAAACAAGTTTTTAAAAGACTGATTTTGTTTCCAGGGCTATCTACTTCATACTACATACAAATTTTAACGACCGGCAAAAAATCCTTACTGACAAAAGACATCTAGAAATAAAATTCTATTAGCATTGGGCCTTATCACATCTTAATCCATCACTCTGTGGACCTCAGATTAATAAAAAATTTAAATATGCTCCTCTACCAATAGTTAGTTAACAGTAACATCTACAATTAAATGATAAAAAATTTACCTTTGCCGCTGGTTTGGCGGCCTGCGATGGCAATAACCCCCACGTCGTCGGGGATGGAGAAGAGTAGCCCCTCAAACACAGTCATGGTGGTGGTGATGACGTCGGTGTAGAACACAACCTGGCCCAGTACTGACGTCTTCAGGTTCATCCAGTAGTCCGTCAGGTCAAAGTATTTGGTCTTGACGTCACACTCTGTTGACGTCATGACAGGGAGGAGAGACGAGGTGGGTGCCGTGTCGTCAGGGGACTGAAGAAATTTTAAGCTTATTTTCTGGGCTTTGAGTACCCTGTCTGCATGCAGGCGATATTTGAAGGATTCTAGAAATGATTCTTTCAACCCCTGAACAAAAAAAAAGGAAAAATATTAGTTATTTTGCTAATATACTGAGTGTTGAGAAAACTAAAACATTGCAATGTTCATATTCTTGTATTTTATTCATAATTTTTTTCTGTTCATGCCCAAGAAATGTGGGGTACATGAAGTAGGGTTTATCTCTTAATTACCTCGGTCTACCAGGGGATAGCATGGTGTGCATTGTGCCCAGCAATCTAAATATTCCTTAACATTAGTCAGGTACTCATCAGAGCTGGGTGGACTCAGAAACGTCTGAATGTCTCAAGCTCAGGACTGATGTGTTAGTTGTAAACATAAATTCTTGCATTATTGCGCAATATTTTAATTGTTTATTCAGAAGCCTTTGAAATGATCACTATTCAAAAATGTGTAATTAATTGTTAATTTTAACAATATGTAAAATGCCCATTAAAACTGTACTGTTAACTGATGTAAAATCTAACTAGGTGGATTACAAGAGATAGAGTGGTTGAACTATACAGCCCAATACTATTAAAACAAAAATCTTTGATTCGAGTCAGCAAAACATACACCTAACCCATGAAAAGGGAAAGTTAAGGCATACAAATGACAACACTGTCCCTTCAGTTCCATGACAAATGATTTCAGATAAAATATCCCAGAAAAAAATCTCATTAACAAAAGATCTAAGGACAAATGATCTCATAAACAAAATATATCAGGAAAAAATTTCTCACAGCAAAATATTTCTAGTATTTAGGATGATTTTAGTTAATTAGAACATTTTTATTAACTGTCAAAAGCTCTGTCACATTCCCTTCATATGCCAATGTCACAGAAATAGATGAACTCTGCTGCATCTGCCTTAATGATCACCAGATTTAAAAAAAAGTAACAGTACTGTAGTTGGATTGATTAAATACATTCTGATGCCTAGAAAATTATCCAGCATTAACTAATGCAGTGATTTAAATGCTACTTTCAATGCTTCATTTAAAAAGCATTCATAAAATTCTATTAAAAAATAGTTGTGCAAAAACTCTAACCAGAACTTACAATTCTCCGTACAAGCAGGAGGCAGGGGGTGAGTGGGGGGACCACACCTGGGCTGGTGTCAATCCCCAGGGAGGTGAGGAGCTCTCGGAACACGGTCAGACGGTCAGCGTTGGAGCGCTTGAGGGAGGCAAACGATTCCTGGTCACACGCAAATTCTGTGGGATCTCTTTCTAGGAGCAGCTGTAGGATTGACATCAATGTTAAAATGGTAAGTGTAAGCTATGTTGGGATCTCTTTCTAGGAGCAGCTGTAGGATTGGCATCAATGTTAAAATGGTAAGTGGAAGCTATGATGGGACTCAAAGTTCACAGTACAAATGATAACACAAGTCAGATTTAGAAAAAAAGAGAATTCTACCATGTCATAAGAATAGCTGACATTTACCAGATAATTGTTGTAAAGATTTGTTAGAGAAACAACTAAAATATGTTTTCTAAAACAGGCATGATAAAATATCCTGTGTTAATGTCCTCTGATGTCCCTGTGTTAATGTCCTTTTGTTAATGTCCCTGTGTTAATGTCCTTTTGTTAATGTCCCTGTGTTAATGTCCTTTTGTTAATGTCCCTGTGTTAATGTCCCTGTGTTAATGTCCCTGTGTTAATGTCCTCTTAATGTTCTTGTGTTAATGTCCCTGTGTTAGTGTATCACTGTGCTAATGTCCCTGTGTTAGTATCACTGTGTTAATGTCCTTCTGTTGATGTCCCTCTATTAATGTCCCCGTGTTAGTGTCCTTGTACTTGTGTTCAATTGACTAAGAATATCGATTATTACTAGCACATGTTAGTTAAAAATAAAATAAATGCACTTAATTAAAAAAAAAAGTATATAGAAATCAGAAACATAAAACCAATCTTTCAATTTTCATAAGGGAATCACAATCAGCTTATACAGCTAACATAAAAATCTCCTACCTGTGATAAAATGACCACACCGCCGTCCATTCCAATTGTTTTTAAAACTAAAGCTTTCTTAACGCCGTCAGCTTCGCTAGAATGTCCTAAAGACTTCTCAAACTCCTCCGCATTTTCATAAGGAATTATCACCTCAGCACTATCCGACATGCCATAGTAATAAAAACGACCCCTGACAGTAGTCACATGATCGCAGTCACCAAACCTGAATGTCACAACACGATCCCCTTTGCAATCTTCCTCTTCCACCTTCTGCGCAAACCTGGCGTCCACCGAGGTGTTGAAGCTCAGCAAGCGGCCGCAGTCTTTGAGGACGTAGTCCACTACCTTGTCCTCGACATCTTGCTGGAGCTGGGCGCAGGAGGAGACGATGAGCAGAGCCGTGTTGTTGGACCATGGCGCCGATAGCATTTTCTCCTGGGAGAGGTGGTAGATGGTGTAGGCGTCGGTGTTGATGCTGGACTCTAGGCTGGATTTGACCTCGGAGAAAATCCTGGCGGTGTCTTTGGCGCCGCAGTACACGAGAATGTTTGGTGGTTTGGTGTGGGGTTTGGGTAGGTTGGTGGTCAAGCCGTTGTCGTTTGCCACAGGCTGATCTTTATCTCCTGCCGCAGGTTGACCTATGTCCCCTGTGATAGGCTGACCTCTGTCACCTGCCGCAGGTTGACCTACGTCCGCAGGTTGCTGTGGCTGGTCAAGACGGTCATCTGCCTCTGGTTTTACAGAAATGTTATGAATGGCTGTAGATTTAACTTGTAAACTAGAATCCTCTTTCACAACTGGCTGGTTTAAAACCAGCTTTGTAGAAGACACAAATGTGGGCTGGTCTTCATTAACAGGTTCACTGTCATCCAGGTGTGCTGATAGAGAAATTAAATCAAAGTGTCAATGTAGTGTTTACTTCAAATAATTAGTTTACGTACAAATAATTGACAATGAAAAAATAAAAGTAAAAGAATCGCACATTTGAAAATAAAATTTTAGAAAACTTATGAATTATAATCTATTATAGTATATACTAGTTATTTGATTCTTTTAGAAAGAAAAGAAAATAGTTTTACAAAAACAAAAAATGTGTTTTTGCTTTCTCTAACCTCCAATGACACCCCTGGTGATTCCCCTATCGAGTGGCTTGCTGTTTATGTCCACTGTGGTGCCACTTATTGTGTCCATAGACTCGTACACATTGGGGACCAGCTTTTGTGGGCTTCCCTTGGTGGTTATTGCTGGAAACGGTTAAAAAAATTTTTAACACCAAATGTATGGATTTTTACAGTTCTTAAATTTAAATACATTATTCAATGCTGTTTAGACCGTAGACTTTATTGAATTCTTTTGGCTGAATATAAATAATACATTTTTTTTCAGTGGTGTCTGCAGGTTTTTAGGGGGGGGGGGGGTGTAAAAGGATGTAAGGGAAGAGGAAATATTTTACCAATAAAATTTCCCCTATATATAAATAAATATATGTATGTATGTATTGTGGGGGGTGTGTCAAATGACATATGTTCAATGAAAACCTAAAAAGAATGTAAAATTGTCTTTTTTGTTACTTTCAAAATTTTGAATTGGAAATCAACATGAGCGCACAGTTGCCAATAGCTGTAAATTAATCTGAGACAGTTTTAATTTAGGGGTGGTATTTAACCACCCTCCCCCTTCAACAGCACTCAACAAAAGACTTACATAAGAAATACAGCTTAAAACAGGTTATATTTTATTTGATATAACTAATTAATTCTGCTCCACTAAACATACATTACTTGTAGCTATTTACCCTCTGTACTTACTTTTACTTATACTTGCAGTGTAACATTTAAGTCTTTATACTTTTACTTATACTGACTCGAAGTGAAATATTTAAGTCTATACTTTCACTTATACTTACACTGTAACATTTAAGTCTTTATTCTTTCACTTATACTAACAGTGTAACATTTAAGTCCGTATACTTTCACTATTACTTACAGTGTAAGATAAAATTATACTTACTCACTAGCTGTAAGAGTTCAAGGTCTTCATCAAAGGTGAGCCTGCCCTGACCAAATGCATCAGTGAGTGCGATAAGACCAGGGAAGCTACAGTGTAGGACAATGGCGAAAGGGTCAGCAGTTTTCCAGGCGATGGGGTACCCGTGTAGCAGTACCTGTAGCACATAGAGGAAGCATTTTTTTATAAGGCACTAGACTACCCGTTATCTAGTTAGAAAAGGCTTGGTCAGCAGTACTCATGTAACATTTTACCCAATTAGAGGCACCATACTACATTACTTATCTATAGAAAAAATATTTAACAGTCTGTGCTTGATGTAATGTACTGCTTAAGTTATAGGCGCCTATAGTTTAATGCAAGATTTTATTTATAGAGTTTTATTAGCTCACACAAGCACATACTACTTTTTGAATATGAAATTAAATAATTTTTTTTAAAACTAGACTCTGCTAGACTGCTAACACGTAAGTCTCGAGTTCGAATCCAGGTTCAAATCAATAGAATGTCACTGAGTCCATCCAAATGATGGGTACCTAACTCAAGTTAGGGAAAGAAAATGCAGCTGGGCATAGTGCTGACCACAGTATCCTTTCATATGCAGAGGTCACAGAAACAAGTGAACTCTACTTCACTTACTCCATGGTTTGAAAATGGAATTTTACTTTAAACTGACTGGTGCGAAAGGCGAAATGTAAAAGATATTGACTATTTACAAGCACTATACTTAAGGTTTTAGTATTTTCTATAGCACCTGCAATAAAGTGCTAGTAGTGGTTTAATATGTTATGTAATTGCATGCACAATGTGTGATGATGCAAACTTAGCTATATTTAGAAAAGTCAAGCAGCCGTGTTAAGTAGAAGTGCAGGATAGAGAACCATTGGTAAGGCAGTTAGAATAGGTAGGAACTAATGAGAATCCCTGCAGGTCAGGTGAGGAATCAGCATCAGTTGGAAAAAAGATAGCGTAGCAGATAGTTAAGTTTGGATTGTGGATTAGTTAGGAGATAAGGGTCCAGTAGAAACTGTTAGATAGCAGAAGTAGTGTGTAGGATAGTAGACAAGAGTCGAGTAAGAATTAGGAGTCAATTGATTTGTACATATAATTAATAAACTTGGCTTTGTCTGAACTTTAAATGGTTTCAGTCATAGCAGTTTCACATGGAAGAAGTGTACAGGTTTACATTGAAGGTTAAGTTCCCCTTATAGAAATTTAATAAAACAGTTTCTGTTATCCACTTAGTATCACATTCTGTAGGCTTTACATATGTTATTGTCTTCAATACTTACATGTATGAAGGTACTAGGTAAATGTTTTCTATACTTGGTAGTGTATATGGTGATAGTATGCTACTGTTTCTATACTTACATGGACCCTATATGCTGGAAGTGTTTTACGGTTTCTTTACTTACATGGACCCTATATGCTGATATCATGTTAATGTTTCTTTCCTTACACTGACCCTATATACTGAAAGTATTCTATAGTTTCTATACTTACATGGACCCTATAAGCGGGTAGTATGTTACAGTTTACTTACATGGACCCTATATGCTGGTAGTATGTTCAAGGTTTCATTGAGAAACCTCTCCAAGTTTTTGGGTCTCCGTGCCTCCAGTAGGAGACAAATATTTTGTTGTGGTTCTGGCACTAAGTTGGGAACTTCTATGTATGATGTGTAGGAGGTCCAGGTACTTAGGTCAACTTCTTGCTGTGAAAAAAAGAGGAAGAAATTAAGATGTAATATATTTTTGTTGTAATCAAAATGGTTCATTTACTTACATTACAATATAGTTCATAGGACTGATTTAATTTTAATCAATAAATAAAACACCCATTCTTAGAAGCTGCTAAAAGCAGCTTAGCAATCACTTAAAAACTTCACCAGGGGTCATCTTCATAAGAAAATAATGTGGCATAAAATAAATTATAAATATAATTATTTCAACAAGCTTTCGTCTTGTCTAATAATTCCTTATAATTAATTTTTTTCTAACATACAGTTAATATCCCAACCATACACTAATACACATTATTTAAATGTATAATAAACTAAGAAACTATAGCTAAACATTATCACATAAAAGGCTAAATAATTTATCTATCCGCCTTACCACAGGTTCAATGGCAGAGATAGAAATATAATCGTCCTGGAACTCTATTCGTTCAGACTTCCCAAGATCTGCTTCAAACAGTAAACTCTTGGCTAAACTACTTGTGTTGGATTTCTTCAATTTCTGGACCAGGATGCTGGAGGTGCGAAGCAGACGATTCATTGCTAGTCCGTACCTTCTTTGCCGCAATGTTTCATAAAGCCATTGCATGCTCATCAAAACAAAGTTGCCCAGAGTTAGGAAAGGCATGGTGGCTTATTTTGGCTACTTCTTAATAATCATTCTAAACTGAAGATAAAATATAATACAAGTTATATTTAAGCTTGTTGCTCGCAAGTTCAATTTTTTTATCATTAAAATTAAATATGATTTAGTTGATTTACAGACTATAGTATAAGCCCGCTAACTTAAGTTGAAAGGGCTACTTTGGGTAAAAATCAAATTTATGCGCTTTCTCCGCGCTTTGGTTGGCTGCTGACATCACGCGACATGTAATGTGTAAACACTGCATTTTTGGAGCTAAAATGGGTAATAAGTAGATTGTTTATATTATTGTTTTGAGTTTATATTTAACTTAATGCAACAAGCCCGCCAGTTGGTTGAGGCCAAGTCGGGGGGGGGGGGGGGGGGCGACAATCTGTCCGGGATTCAAAGGGTCGATTCTAAATATATTCCAAAATGTCTATTAAGAGTAAGACTATTACTATTAGCCTAGTATTAGGCAGGCTATCGAATCAATTAATCGGGCGTCAGTATCTAACAAGTAACATCATAATCCGACTAACCCAGTAACTAGACTTGACTAGATCTAGATTTCTAGACCATGACCAAAGCAATACAACTTTTTTCATGTTTTTTGTGTTGTTAGTCGATTTATTTATTACACTACACTTTTCACTTAGAGACAGAGAATGACTCAATCAGAATCTGAGAATGCATGCTTAACTTAATTTATTAACTTAAAATAATAACTAGGGCCTAAAGCTTATAAAAGAGCGCACTCACAGTCAAAGACTCAAAGCCCTAGAAGATTTTCTTCTCTTTCATTTAAGGGTCATTTATAAACAATGTCACGCTTTTTTATGTGTACACAATTTGTTATTCGTCAAAAATCGGCTACGTTCAACTACATAGTCACGATTGTGCGTTGAGGCCGAGGTTACACATCTCATCTCATCTAGATCTACTAGATCTGGATTCTAGGACTAGCCTAACACTCAGACAGAATAAATACTTCAAGAGTGACTTCCTCTTGTCAATGGGAGACTATTATGAATAAAGTTTGCCTACTTTAAGCACAGATTTATCTTTCCCTGACACCCGCGAGTCTGTTGATCAGTTGACTGTCCATGTCCTACCACAGTAGACTGTCCATGTCCTACCACAGTAGACTGTCCATGTCTTACCAAATTACTGTCCTAAATAGATTCGCCCCCCCATCTTTGCTGTCCTAAATAGATTCCACCCTCCACACTCTGCCCTAAATTTGTTCTCTTAACTAGATTCGCCCCCCCCCACCTTCCAAACTCTCCCCCATCTTTGTTGTCCTAAATAGATACGGTTTTTCCCCCATGTTTACTGTTGTGAATAGATCCCACCCATGACCCACCCCCCTCTCCCCTAAGTTTGTTCACACAGTTTGAGTTGTTCAGCTACTTGCTAGTTCCAATACATATTTTTTTTCATTCTTATTGATTTATTACCTTATTAGTTATTGCTATACTTTTTGTTTGTCTTCATTTATATCTAAATGTTTATACTAATGTTTATTAACATTTAGTAAATAGATAACAGTTTATCAAATAAATAGTAATATATTAACGTTGATTATGACTGTCTCATAAATTAACCGATAAAGTTGATTCAGTTATTTATTTAAAAAATGTTTTATTTTTTAAAAAGATTCATGGCTTTTCTTCAATTTCTTCAACACACCACCTCCACTCCGGAATGCTATTATTTTATTTCCTTATTTCTTTAAAATGCGAAAAGAAAAAAAAATCCGGAAATGAATAATTTCCTGTATTTTTTATTCCATTTATTTTAACATTACTCGCCTGTAAAAAGATATTACTCACCCAGTTATTTTTTGTGGGCGCTAACGGGTAACCATGTAGCAAGTAATTTGACATTTGGCTGGAGTAACTTAAAACTCGCAACATCGGGGTCAACAATTTAATGCAGGGAATTATTTTTTTTTTCGCCATTAATCTTTGATGTGGTATTTTTTTTAAGACGTTCAGATTTGCCAATGTTTATATTTGTCGATATTGAAGGCGGTATTTATTTAGGCTAACCAGTTTATCAATGTTTGTGGTGGTCAATAGCCCCCCCCCTCCCGATTCAAGAGCCCCGCGCCTCCTTCGTACGACATAGAAAAATAATGTATAAAAAATATTAAGCAGCGTCCGCTGGAAATTTAAGTGTGCCCCCCCGAAAATTTTTTACCGCCCCCCCGAACGAAATAAAATTTATATAATTTATATAGAAAATATATACTTTTAACAGTGTCCGCCCCCCCGAAGAAAGTTTACCGCCCCCCCCCCCCCCCCCCCCCCGAAGATTTCAAGTGCCCCCCCGGAGAAAAAAGTCTGGAAGAAACACTGCTCACAGAGTTTCTTCCAAGCATCTCTTCGCCCCCCCCCACCCCGAAGAAAGTCTACCGCCCCCCCCCCCCCCCGAAAATATCAAGTGCCCCCCCCCCCCCCTCCGGAGAAAAAAGTCCCAGACAGGTTCACGTGCCCACCCCCTCACCCGCTGGAAAATATCTGAAAGAAACACTGTATACACACCTATTGTTTTATAATTTTATGACCTGTTTATGAGTTGTCGGCGGCGTGGTCGGATTGTAAAGCTTGCGACTACTAACACGAATGTCTCGAGTTCGGATCCCGGGGCTTGGGTCTCTTGTATAAACCCGTCAGGGACCCTATAGTGGCGGATTGGGGTAGCCTAACCACACTATCGATCTGTAATTGATTACTCTACTTTATCTGCCAAATGAGTCTTAGGCACAAACGGGAAAGATGATTCTGTGTCTCAAGACGTGAAATTGTGTGCTATTTATCAGTGTGTTATAAATAAATATTTTTTTTTTCTGTTTAGTCGGGGTGGGAGTTATAGACTATGGGGAGAGAAGGGGGGGGGGGGTGGTCGTCCATAAATGACGTCATACTCGTAGGAAGGACGGGGGTCCGTAATTTTGCGGCGCTATGTGATGAGGGGGAGGGGGGGGGGGCAGATGGTGTGACGTCACTTTTTTTTTTGCACTATAAAAAAGCAATGTTAGAAAACGAGTTTTAGCCGTTATTTCGCGTTTTAGAAAACTGTTTTAATAAATTGTGATAGGAATTTATCAAAATACTCGATGTTGACAGAGTTCTGACAAGATTTTGGAAAAATATCAAAGTTTAAGTAAAAAAAAATTCAACAGCAATTTTGAGAGGGGGGGGGGCTGCATTAGACCAATTACGGTGGACGTCAATATCAGACCACATTCACAGTCTTAAGTTATAGTTTAACATAATAAGCTAAAACTCTAACCTCGACTATGATATTAAAATTTAAGCAGGATTTTTTTTTAATTGTTATTTTTAAAAATGCAATAACAGTGATGTCAGTTAAAAAATGTTTTTTTTTAAAAAACTTATATAAAGGGAAGTAATACTGTTTTTGAACAACTATGGGAAAGAACTCTATTAAAAGTCATAAATGTTTTATATGTTCATTTTGTTACTAATGTATTTCAATATTAGTATTTTTAAAGTAATTTTAATACAACATAATTTTAGTTTCAATATTGCAATGAATAAAAAGATACTTTATAAAGAAAACTTTATTTAAAATTTAATATTTTATACTTTATTTTCAAAAGTTTAAAGCTACATTCTTTACAAAATGGCTTTACTATAAATAAAGTTAGTTATGCTATTATTGTATGGAAAAACCCGTGATATTGCACTATCACCTATTTTTGACCCCAATCGATGGGTATAATTCAGCAGTCAGAGCACACAGCACAGAATTTGACGCTAAACTTGCCTTAAAACCCACAGCCACCGTCTCCACGCCTCGTCAGAGTTACATTTGTTAATTTCATGATTTAAAATCTGTTATTATAGTTTTAGAGTTTTATCTTTAAATATCTTAGAGCAATAAACTAAAAAAAAACGATTTATTATAATTATTTAAACTTAAGCGTAGATACTAGATTGGAGTCTAGGTCTAGTAAAATATTTATAGCTTACCGCCTTTAATGTTATAATCTTATAATTTTGTATAATTTATATACGTTGTTTATAATGATTGGATGCATAGAATATAGGCTCCAGTAGTGTAAAAATGGGAGGGGGGATTTACACATTTTTTAAAAAACTGATATATTTAGCGCAATTTCCATTCTGGAGAATTGCGTTTATTAACTCGTCATTTCTGGGAATGGATGGATGAATGAATGAATGAATGAATGTATGGATGAATGTGTGTCCGGGCTTTAAGTCGTATCTCCTCCTCAACGAAGCAATATCGATGGCTAGTTTCAAAAGCAATTATGTTAAGCAAGTTACGAGAATGAGCATAGGCCATAAAAATTCCGGGTTTCTTTCATGTATTTCCTGGAAAAGCCAAAAAACCTCGAAAAAATTCAGTTTTTGGCCCATGTCTCGGCAACCAGACCACTTAGCGACTTGAAACATGTACCAATCGATTCCTGCTATAATTTAGAACAATATTGCCGAAGAAAGTTTTCAAAAATATCCTCTCGTTCGGTCACACATTTTTAAATTACATAAACACCTACAAACCGATCGTTCTTCTAGCTTGAACGCACCCCAGCATTATACGCCAGAGCTATTTTTAGATAACATAAGGAAATTGCGCATAAATGTCACTAGACTTTTTTAATTAACTTGTTTTTGTTATAAGTGCAAAAATAAAGTTGGCCTACTAATGCGATTTAAATATATAGGCCTAGCCTAGACTAATATAAATTATTTTGTGTGTGTAAGGGGCGGGGGAGGGGAAGAGATTTCTTGAAATGTTTTAGGCTATGATAAGATTAAGAGTGGTGGTGTTTTATTATTGTTATATTATATTAATGCATGAAATGAAATTGTGAAAATGTGATGTGATATCATAAGCTTTAAGTTTATTAAAAAAAAATCGATAGGCATAATTGCAAAGCAGATCTGCAGAATGCAGACCATTTACATTAATTTGACAGGGTGAAACTCTGGTTTCTCTTCACATCGAGTACTTCTTTCGCCTTTTACTAAAGATTTCGCCTTTTACTACTCCTGAGTCCTTATCGCTATGGACTATGCAAATGTTGCCAGGCTCAGCAATTGGGTTGCGCCCATTCTTGTTCCCTCTAAGTCGAGAGACCGGACTACGGTTCGGTTGGCTTAATGAAATCCTTGGTCCCACCCTTTTCAGATGCAGCGAGGTCAACAACCCTATAAAAATGAACTGCCTGCAGAAGAAAGTCCTGATCTTCTCTCGACTCAACCAACACCAAATACAGTCATGCAGGTGGTCATTCAAGCAAACGGTCATGCCAATCTACACAGGCACATCATCCGCCAACTCATCAGCCCACACCAAATTTTGCTAATGAACTACATCAGCCCACACCAAATTTTGCTAATGAACTACATCAGCCCACACCAAATTTTGCTAATGAACTACATCAGCCCACACCAAATTTTGCTAATGAACTACGGACGAGGAGACACATGGTTGTTTTCGTACGAAAGCTTCAATGTGGCTGATCTGGACAACACAACCAAACAGTACGGACCTTACTCACTGCACTTCATGATCTACCATAAGGACAAGATCAACGGTACACTAGGATGGGTTCCCCCGGCACTCGAAAACGACACCCTGCTCAAAGCACTAAGAATAATTAGCAAAACAGAACCATCAGTCCAAAAAATTCCACACATCAACAATCGAAGCTTTACCATCTTCAAAGATAACCCGTCAACCATCCTTTACTACATCAAGTTCAACTACAAAAACAAATAGATCTATATTAACATTCTCATAGCCATCCCAGGAAGAAAATAAGCATGCCGAACATGCGCATCCACACAACACTGGACAAATCAGTGTCACCTAACAAATCAAGACTCGCCACGACAGGAAATTCTGGTCGCACCAACAACCGAAAACACACCTGCCAACAAGCTGCAGCAGAAACAC